AATACATATAGGAGATGTCAATCGGTACCAGTCTCAGCTATGCTGCTGAACGCTTGGCTCAGCAGTTCTGGTTTTCAGACTGGCCGGGGCATAGAAGAAAAAGAGTGAAGTTTAGTAAAGTAATATAATTCCAAAATCGATCGATGGAAGATTCTCAATGGAAAAGTATTTTCTGTAGCTTACTCGAGACATTTAAATAAAACACTCTTATTAGTTTAAATTGAGAATTATATAAGTATAAATAATTCATTGTTACTGCGGCCCGTCATTTCGGATACTTCCCCCCGTGATCACGGCTGCAGAGCTAACTTTTCACGGTTTCAAACAAAACATAAAAACCTTGATTTTTCTTCGTTCACTAAATATTTATTGTTTCATATCAAAATAGCGATAAAATAAACGTATTCTACTAGAATCGCGATCGAAAATGGAGAAGATTTTTTTCAAAAAAGATTCTTTAGAATCTCGACCCAAATAGCAAACTAGTTTTCGGTTTTCCGAGCATTTTCCAATCAGGGGTACGGCGTGCTTTGTTTTCTAATGTGTGGGACGGATTCGGAATGTAAAGGGCTTTTCGGGGCCTCAAAAACTTCTACGATACATTAACCAACAGACAAAAGTTATAAATTGTTTCTTTAAAAGCATGGTCTGGAGTTTCGCCTGTCATAAATGACTTGTCAGTTGTAATATTATATCGATTTAATAGGTGGGGTCATGAGTTAAATTACAATTTTCTTGCAACAGCTTAAAATCTATTTTTTTCATCGTGCACCCATATACTATAAATACTTTTTACTTGATCTTATATACTTATAAACATTTATATTGGTTGGTGGTTATATTTATATTATATTGGTTTACAATTTATCGCGTTTTAAACCGTTAAAGTGTTTTATTTAAATGTGTACCACTCGCGTAAACTACAAACAGCTATACTTATAGCTTGCTTGTAAACAACTTTAATACACAAATACCTTCTCTGTCATAACAAAACTACCCTCACATAATAGCTAATACGTTCTATTGTCTATGGGTAATTTCCACTTCACATACATATTATTAAAGGTTTATCTTAATTTACACAAAAGAGCCCTGTGAAGGCTCTATTGTTTCATGCCTGTTCAGTTATTGAAGTGCGAAATGTTTGGCTACAACCGAGCATTTTAAATAACGTAAAGCAATTTAACTCGAGCACTGAGCTGGAATTTTAATTGAATACATCGGTTTGATTACAATGATTCTGTTTGTTAACAAATTCAGTCCGTTCGTACTGAAAATTTGTAAAAAATACACACGTTCCTTATATTTACCTAGTGTATGCTGATTTATTTATTTAGCAAAAGGAAACAAAGAGGTAAATTACACAAGCAGTGTAACCAAGGATTAACAATACAAATAATAAAATTTAAATGCATCCTTAATAATTTCACAAATAGCTTAAAAGTTATATACAATAAGTCACACGTTATATAAAATTTATAAAAAAACGACACATCGATAAAAATTACAGGAAATAACACAATTTTTTATAAGTTAAGAAAAAAATAATTATACGTATTAACTACAAACATTATTAAATTGAAAGACCTAAGGTGAGATAAGTACTCTTTTTAATTTAAATAAACACCTTAACGGTTTAAAACACGATGTATATTAATTAAATTTATTTGAAAATTATTTTTAACTTCGGCCCGACGTGTCGGATGCTTTGCAGCAGTCGTAGTCACGGGGAGACTGCAACCGAACGAACGTCGGGCTGTAGTTAAACTAAATTCTAAGTAAGTTAATACATTTCGCGTTTAAAACCTTTTAGTTTTATATTTAAATGTGTTCTATTCGCGTACTCAAAATAATAAAGATTTAAGTTTTATAATTTTGATTACTTATGTACACATTTGTAAGATTTCCGAGTCATTGTTAAAATAATCTTTCTTTCTGTCACACGAATGTAGATTTTTACAAATTCGAAATATACTAAAAATGTAATCTTTCTTTCTTATTGCTCCCTTAGTAAGGAGAATCATGGGCATTATCTTAACAAGAATTTCTGTACACAAATCTTGTCTTACAGAAGATGCCTCATACGCGCTTCTTGAATAAATGTTATTTCCTAGTGATGTAACCACAGATATCGATAATATTTAAGTACCTATATTTAAATGCCTCGGGTACAAACTAATTGAAGTTGATGTTATAAGTGATTTATACCATGTGTCGGCGAAGTACTGTTGTTGTAAATAAAACACTTTGACAGTCTAAAACGCGATATATATAAGTTAAATATATTACTAAATTATTTTAATTACGGCTTTATGCTTTGCGCAAAATACGAACTACGACAGAAAAGATGGCGCTAGTGTGGCAGTTTTTACTTTAAGATTAGAGGCACTCTTCATCTTTAGTTTACCCGTGACCATGGCTGCTGCAAAGCATCCGAAACGTCGAGCCGTAGTTTAAATTATTCCCAAACAAGTTTAGCTAATATATATCGCTTTTTAAACAAGTTTTAAATGTGATCTACTCGCGTAAACTGCAAACACCACTGCTGTTATTAAAAATTATATATGTTTATAGATATTCACGTCCTGTAATCGATATTATTAATATTTCTATTAATAATATAAAATAGATTCGACCGTGGATAATAATCATTAATAGTTTGGTTGTCAGACCAATTTATCTCAACGAAAAATACGAAAGTTGCAAATGAGTGACGAAGGACTCTTTTTTGTAACAGAACTTATACAATATAAGTTTATAAATGCTGTTTCATTGATCTTTAGAAGCAATTTTCTTTTTGTGTTAACAATTTATAAGTTTCATACTATCCTTCATAATTCTAATGTATAGACCTATTAGTCATAGTTAAAAGCAAACATTCTTCGCATGTGAATTCGTTACAAGTGTTGTAATAAAGCCTGTAAGTTTAAAGTATTTTTAACATTATACAAGTAAACGCACTGTTCCCTAATGACATAAGAAAGGATTTTCCTCATTGGTCTAATGCAATGTATGGCTAACAATCGATGTATCGTGGGTTCGATCCCCAAGGCATCCAACATGTTTTAATCAATTTATAATATTTAAATAGCACACTTCAACGGTTTAAAACGCGATATATACTAAGCCGTTGTCACGGGGAGACAGTGCTGCTGCTAAGCATCCGAAATGTCGGTTCGTAGTTAAAATAATTTTTAAAGAAGTTTATAATATATATCGCATTTTAAACCGTTAAAGTGTTTCTTTGAAATGTGTACTCGCTTGAACTATAAGCAGTATTTAATATATAATATTTATGAAATATGTTGGACTTCGTTTGGAAATTGGGAACCACACCAGATTACAAAACCCGTTAAGTTTGATCGCGTTTTGGTTTCAGTATATATTTCCAAATGTCAAAAGCCAATGGGTCGACAGCGCACCTCGTTATACTTCTTCCATTGAACTCCAAGCCTGTATGTCCTCGTTTTTAATAAAAAAAGCAAGTACTTTGAACAAGGACAAACTCAATCTACTAAACTATCGACAGTTATGTACATCACTAAGCGCGTTCACAAAATATTGCCGTCTGAAATCAAGCATGAAATAAGGGTCGTGTGTACGTCACCTGTCCTGGCCGTTGTATAGCGTAAGAGATGAAGCATTTGTAATGGTAAATTCTATTTATACGAATTAACATAATACGTTTTTCCAAGCTTTGTCAAAATATGTAGTTAGTAGTAGTAGTAGTAGACAGCGATATGATTTCAGAGGTGGATAAACAAGCATGAAGTTCACTGATGAAAGGTTTACCCAGCCATATAACAACTAAATAAGATTTGCTGTCGATCTAATTTGGCTTTGGATATTCGGAAAGTCAAAGATCATAACCGAAACACGATAAATTTTACGGCTTTTTTATCTGCGTACGGAGCTACCCGGAGATTGTCAATATTCCACCAATTTAATATTAAGATTATCAGACAAACTTTAACATTTAAATAAAACACTTTAACGGTTTAAAACGCGCAATATTAGTTAAACTTATTTGAAAATGAATTTTAACTTCGGCTCGACGTTTCGGATGCTTTGCACGTGACCACGGCTTAAGATCATTTTAAAATAAGTTTAACTAATATTGCGCGTTTTAAACCGTTTAAATGTGTGCTACTCGCGTAAACTATAGACAGCATTTAAACTTTAACATGTTTCAGTAAAAAAAATGACTATAAGCCGACGATTCAGTTGCTTCCGATTAAAATAAATCAGCTCCTTGTCTATAAAAGAAGATAAAAGTACAAACATTTTGTCATGTTATAATGCTCATACAAAATGGCTGTAATTTACCGTAGTATGGAAGCATTTGCGTTGAAAAATAATGTAGTATTAGTCATAACCCAAGTTTTATTATCGTAAACCATTACGTTGTTATAAATGACAATATTAGGTGGAAATGAGGGACTATTATTGCGAACATTCGTTATTATCTAATAGCGAGTTGAGCTATATGTAGCGAAGGGCTTTGGGTTTGATTTTCTTTATATTGAGCGTCTATATGCTTTGAAACTTGAGGCTCAGTTTCAAAGCGCGAAGGTAGAATAAGTCAACAATGTCATTTTGATAGTTCGTGACACTGAAGGAATTTTGAGTTTCTTGCCAGTTCTTCTCGTTCGTTCTCTTCTTCTCTTCTCTGCTCTTTCTCTCTCTGGGTCTTCGTTAACTTTGAGAACTGGTAGTAACTGAAAATTTAAAGTTTCAAATTTTATTCTTGATTTCATTTGATTGCTACCATTAAGCTAATGATTACGTGAATACACGCGCCACGGTGAGCCAAACATGTCTTGAATGAGTACGCAGCAAGGCGGGAAATCCCGCGAATGTTCGCTAAATTATTCGCGTCGCCGTTGGGACTGCTGATTCGTCGCCACGTCCTTACATTAGCTTTTCAAACACTATACGATCTATCTATACTAATATTTGTTTAACTTTTAATCAAATACTAACATTTGTTTATTTGTTTCATGTACGGCTGCAGAGCGCAACTCGAGTAAGTATTAATTATTTTATTCTATATTCATCTTGAGTCTCTTTTGTTAAATACCCTGTGTTGCATAGGACAGACATATTTCTGTGTTTCACTCAGGACTCAAACTCAAGAACTCTTAGTGCTACAAGCTTTTGAACTAAGTCATAGATTTTAGTCAGTAAAAATTATATCAATTAGATTTTCACAAGGCTTATAGGCTATAATTAAAACATTTTCAAACGTATAATATAAATTATTAAACATGAGAAATGCACTTTTCAACATCGCATACCACATTTTAATTTAATTTACCTAACTAAAACAATAAATAAATAACGTCCCAATAAATAAGCAGTTACCCTTTGAAAAATGCATTCCGTAGATCCGTGACCACCACTGCTGCACCATCGGAAACGTCGAACTGTAATTCATTCATTTCAAATTAAGTTATTACATTTCGCGTTTAAAACCGTTGAAAGCGTTTTATTTAAATCCTAAATAGAGCCTAACCGATTAATTGTTACCTACGACATAAATAGATCGTTTATAGAACTTAAACGTGGTATTTTTCCTCCAGGACCACATCAACTAGTTCTCCCCAAGCGAAATCACCAGCTGGTAGCAGCGCAGGGCCTGTCGCCAGCGCCTCAACAGCCCAAGGAGAACGAACCCCCACTGTCCACAACAAACAGCTGCAAAATGTCAAGGGACAAGAGCATCAACAGCATCCATCTGTAAGTCTAATATATTATACAAAACTTCAAGCACTGGGTACACACCTGCGAGCATGTAATGTAATTCGTGAATTACTTTTAAAATAGAAGATCTCAGCCTAAAAGAATCTTCACTGAGCTAATAATAGATTTGTTTCAATGTTTGCAGCTGGGTTGACGTAAAAGTCCTTATTGATACAGTGGACTTAATCGGCCTTATTCCAAATAATATTTAAAGCAGGTTTAAACCAGAACTGCGGAATCGTGGTTTAACTCTTAAACTATGGCCTAAATTATACCATAGTTAATCCATTATATACGTTAAACTTTGTTTTGTAATAAGCATTTCAAATAAAACAGATTTAAGAGTCAGTCCTTGTTTTGTAATAAGAGTGTTTGAGTCTAATAGCTCCCAATATTGGTAAAAGGTATTTAAATAAAATTACGTATAATAATTACAATTTTTACAGTCAATGTTAAACATTGTTCCAACTGCAAAAGGAAAATGGTGTAAAAAATATTTTTCGCAATGAATTTTTATTAATTTTGAGCCATCCATACCCAATATCACTAAAATAGGTCGACCGCGCATCATGCGTAGATGGCATTCAAAAGCTATTCTTATGTTTCAACGTTTAAATAGTGTAACTAATTATTTATTTAATATAAATTAGTTCAAGTACTAAATGACCCGACGAATTTTCTTTAAACAAATTGTCAACCAATGCCAGCCATTCTTTAGTTTTAAATAGTGTTACTAACACAACGTTTATATATGTTTAAGATAAGCTAGTAAAGCAAAAAGGTGTTGCTACAATATTACATTACATGCTCAATTCAAGTGTGTACCTGTCCTATAAAAAACAACATAATAAATAGAGTTGACAAAATTCAAAATTTTCAAATCGATGCACTAAACGCACCAGTCACTATAAAATGGGCGAATTAAGGCATCATTTTGTTCAAATTGGCGAGATGTAAGTACGACTTTTATCTAATGTTGATTAAAATGTTTCTTGACTGTTAGTTAGTCTATTGTTAACTGTTATGAATGTTATCAACAACCGGAGCTTCGACGATGAATGGTTGAGAAAATCATGTTGAACTTCTTGGATTTTCTCATCATTGTGTCGCACTTGTTCTGTATGTGCTGTCTGTGTTCGGAGATGTAGGTTGTCTGAAGATCTTTTCAATCTGTGTATGTCTGAATGCGTGTTAACTGAAATAAATGTACCTTTATTAGTCCCCCGCGTTTATCTTCCCGCGTTCGTTGGTAATGTGTTAAATCGGCGGGTCGTAGAATCAAGTCCTAACGGATCCAAAGTATTTCTAATTAATTAAGAATGCTCTTTACATGTTTTAGATAACCTGGATAGTAAATAGGTGGTAGGCATAACCAAATTCGCTTTGGGTCGTACAGGCGTGTTCCCGGAGCTCCTTCAAAGCACCGAAGCGGGCTGGCGGTTTGTTTAGTGATTCTGGTAGGCGTAGGCGTAGGGTTGACGAATTCTCACACTACATACAACACTATTGCCTGATGTGGACGGTTGAATGCCCGCCCACATCTATATATACCATATACATATACCATGAGTAAAAAGGAGGCTAAGAATTTCTAAAACCAAATGTCATGGGCATATATACCATCCACAGATAAAAACCGTTAGGATTAATTACGTTTCGGTTTACAAAGCAAAGCTATAATAAGATTTGCAGAAGAAATGAAAGAATTTTCATTTCAAGAAATGTCTCTTCTGTCAAGTAAATCATATACTTTTAAATAAAACACTTTAACGGTTTGAAACGTGATATATTAGTTAAACTTATTTGAAAATGATTTTTAACTTCGGCCCGACGTTTCAGATGCTTTGCAGCGGCTGCTTTCAAATAAGTTTAACTAATATATCGCGTTTCAAACCGTTAAAGTGTTTTATTTAAATGTGTACTACTCGCGTAAACTTTAGACAGTATTCAAATCATATACTTGTTTGTCCTCCTAAATCATAGATTAGTGGAAACTACGGATTAATTAAAGGTTTAATGTTTGAAACGACATATTTTTTCAACAAGCACAACGGTTCAAAACTTACAAACAAACAAAACAATAAATATATTATTCTCACCACAAGAATATTACATAATATGATTTAATTTGAAACAACCGTTCCGAGAAATGACGGCCTTATCGGTAAAAAGCGATTTCTTCAAGGCAAGCGTGATTTACAATAATAGTTGATAGCAAGGATAAAACTAGCTATGATAATTTTAAATAATGCAAAAACCGTTCTTAAAATATAACTCAAAAAAAAACATAATTGTCTTTCATTAATTAAAACTTATGTCAGTGGAAATAAGGTAAAAGATAATTATCTTAAATTATAATTTACTATGTAACCAAACTAAATCTAGAATTAAAGTATTCCAGCGTTTAGATGAAAAAGCGATTGTATTTCCCCTCGAGTTGTATAAAATAAACTTTTATTTTTCTTCTTTACACCGGGAATGGATTAAGCGGGACGCGTAGGGAATCGTAATTCCGATAATTAAGTTGAATTGTTATTTTTCTCTCACCTTATCTAACGTTAAAAGTACCCATTTTTTAGCATTTAGAGATTGAACCTGTCGTCGTCTTGTAGTTGGAGAAAAAGGCCTAATAATTTTGAAAAGAAATATATTATACTTCATTCGACGCATGATAGATTTAAATAAAACATTTTTAACGGGTTTAAACGTGAAATATATTAAATACTGTCTATAATTTACGCGAGTAGTACACATTTAAATAAAACACTTTAACGGTTCAAAACGCGATATGTTAGTTAAACTTATTTGAAAATTATTTTAAATGAGTTTAACTAATATATCGCGTTTTAAACCGTTAAAGTGTTTTATTTAAACGTGAAATATATTATTTATTTATTATATTTTAACTACAGCCCGACGTTTTACATGCTCGTCGCGGAGGGAGGGGGGCTTAAGATGGTGGGTGACTTGGGTGGTTTTGTTTTGAAAAATAGAATATGGAACGGACAAGATTCCAACCCAACACAGCGTATAGCTCTAACGGTTCAGCTATTTATACAAATTAAATTTCATTATTAATTTAAAATAAAAATTATGAAATTTAAATTGTATAATTTTTTAATTTGGAGAACTTTATTCAAAGATTTGTGATCGAATTGTTGACTTTTCTACGGCATATTTTATATGTATCGGCATACGCAACTCCCTAGAACGAACGAAACGCTCTAATTTCGATTCACAGTAAAAAATAAATAGACCGTCAGCTAAAACCTCCTAAATAGAAACTCGTTTGTAGAAATTATTTATAAATGTGCCCAATACAGAGGTACCACATCCGAATCCTGGGAAATTATAAATTATCGTTCGATCATCTACAGAAACAGTTCCAAAAATACTCACAATACAACAGCCCTTGGCCCTTGGAAAAAGTCCCATCTGACTTTTTCCAATGACCCTAGTATAAAAACTGGACTAAAGTTGCCACTGTTAAATATTCAAACTGCAACGAGCATAAGCTCAAAGCATTTGCAAGTTGAATAATTTATATAGTTCTCGCAATTATTGAAAACTGGCAACACACTTTCGCCGTCTGTCTTTTACTTAGAAAATACGTGATCAGTTTAGCTAAACTGCTCCCTGTAGTGTACGCGAGGAGTACACATTTAAATCAAACAATTTTAACGGTTCAAAACGCGATATATTATAGTTAAACTTATTTGAAAATTATATTAAATACGGACGACGTTACGGATGCTTTGCGGCAGCCGTGGTCACGGGGAGACTGTGTAATTAAAATAAGTTCAACTAATATATATCGCGTTTTAAATCGTTAAAGTGTTTTATTGAAATAGATAAGATGCGTTTCATTCCATCGCGTTAAGCATTCTAAAGTCCTGGGTTTGAATGTCTACGATCCGGAAATATAATTATTTTATTCTTGTGCCGTTACCTTGCTTATAAAACTATTATATCAGTACAACAGACATAGAAATACGTTCATGACGAAGACATACGTCTTAACAGGACAGACATAGTTTTACTAGATAAAATAATATTCCTATAACAAAGAGTCTCTCATCAAATGTTATCAAAATAAACTTAGCATTACCGCGGAAACGCTACTAAAATTCTTATAAATAACTGTACTTATATATTTCACGTTTTAACCCGTTCAAAATTATTTATTTAAATATTAAGTCTTACAATATTAAAATTGATAGTTTAGATAGTTAGTTAGATGCAGACAATATATATTAGTCCTAAATTAAAAATCGATATATATATATTGTAAAAAGATCACGACTCGGGCAGGATTTGAGCCTGCATCTGCAGCATTTCGTGCTGAGTCCTACACGTCATCGACGGATTTTTTCAACCTATCGATACGTGCACCTTTCGCGCAATATTATTTCTGTCGATCCTGGATTTTTGCCTCCTTACCACTCAGCTAACGAGACACATTAGGGTCCAGTAGAAGCTTTGAGTGTCTAGATTTAATGGAGGGTAGATTATTAATAAACATGATTAATGCCCTCTCAATGCAAGGGTGGAATTACATCGTCCCACTAATGGGATTACATCATCATTAATCAATGTTGGGAGCTAAGTAATTATTTGAAGCAATCATATTCACAATGCCACTGAATTGATGAACTAATAGTATTGATTGAATCTTATTTATATGACTAAATGGCTATATACAATACTAGCTGTGTCAGCGACTTCGTCCGCGTAGTTAGTAATTTGTTTTTGTAAACCTCCACACTTTTTTAAATTTAAGGTCTTATGCTTGATAGTGTCTCGTCGTTCTTGCAATTTAATCTGAAAAGGTAGACATATAGTGTTCGATTTTTTTTTAGATCATTTAAAGAGGAATCATTCTTTCATACATTTTTTGGGTGGGTACCCTGAAGTTTTTTGCAGCCTACCCTCGGAAACCTATAATACTTATCCCATTTTTTTCGCTTGTATTAGACACAAGACAGTGTTTTATAGCATATAACCTTCCCTGATAAATCCCTGCTCTAACCAACACAAAAATAATTTTTCAATTCGAACTTTCAAAATTCCTGAGATTAGCGCGTATAAACATACAAACAAACTCTCCAGATTTGTATATTTGTATAGATTTCTGTTACTTCGCTCCTATTGCTCGCAGCATGATCTTATATTGCCTAAAGCCTTCCTCGATAAATCGTTTATGCAACAGAAAAATAATTTTCCAATTTGAACCAGTAGTTCCTGAGATTAGGGTATTCAAACAAACAAACTCTTCAGCTTTATAATGATAGGTTATGAAATATTTTACCTAAGTAGTTATCGATTTGAACATGATTCTTACTACTAGAATAGGTATTGTGTAGCGACACAGTCCTAAACAAATGCCTTATAGTAAGTAGTACTGCACGCTGTGAAGGCAATTTTGCTGAAATTGAAAATTGTTAAAGCTACGAAATCGTTCGGTAGATCTTATTGAAATTGCTTTGAATTTTGTTCGAGTTTCGCCTATATTTTTCAAACGTATTTTCGTAACATGATAGTGGGGTACTTTTCAGGGCTGTCAAAATGATTATTGTTATTCGTTGTCTCATTAAAACGCTTTGGTTGTTTCTTTTAATACACTTTTGCTGTTTCTACAAAGATGATCTAGGAATACAAGGAAAGATGCAAGATTCTTCATAAAAAATAATACATGACAATAGTTATTTAAATCTCCAATGGAATAAAACACTTTAACGGTTTAAAACGCGATATATTAGTTAAACTTATTTGAAAATTGCGGGAAGAAAGGGGTCAGACAGTCAGGGGTCTCCCCGTGACCACGGCTGCTACAAAGCATCCGAAACGTCGGGCCGAAGTTAAAAATCATTTTCAAATAAGTTTAACTAATATATCGCGTTTTAAACCATTAAAGTGTTTTATCTAAATGTGTAGTACTCGCGTAAACTATAGACAGTATTTAATAGTTGATATTATTTTTTTTATATACAAATGATTCGAATTCAATATTTTATATGCTGACCCTACCCAAGCATTAAGGCGCGCTCAGATTTTTTCGCATCACATCGTTATTCGTAAGCCTTTATCTAAAGAGGCTGTATCGCTATAGAAAACAGTGACAAAAGAAAATAGACACACTTTTGTGGTTTCAACAGGGTCATTATATCCTATCTTTCGATTGGTGATAGAGATTATGTAGATGTATAAAATGTAGAATAAACTTTTCTTTCATTAATAGTTAATTAATTTGAATTTAATATCAATTAAATTTTAAAACATAAATAGTATTCGTATTTAACGCACGCGGTTAACTAACCTTTGGAAAGGGAGGTTTTAATAAGCTATAAACATAAATAAAAATTTAAATAAAACACTCTAACGGTTTAAAACGCGTGTTTGAAAATTTTTATTGTCTCCACCAGATCACTGCTGCTACAAAGCATCCGAAACATCTTAAAATAAATTTGTTTAGATCGATTTAATCGTTGCGTATTTTGTGTTAATTCTTTTGGACTATGGTCTAGTCATATTTTTAATGTAATCTATTGGGACATTAGACAATACTATATAGTATATCTACATACAACGGTAAAAAACCTTTAAATAGGCGACAGTGATGAATTTTCCTAAGTTAATATTGATTGATAAAATAATTTATATTTTAGTTTTCAATAACAATATAGAAAATTTCCCGAGAGTTCGTGAGATAAAATCAATGTTTCTGAGCTAGAAAAATGAACGACAAAAATAGTTATTACTCCACAACTTCAACATTAGAGAGAATTTCCCGCGGAGCGATATGAAAAATGGTATTTCAGATTTTCCCCGAGAGTTCTTTTAATTTGTACTCCGCTCTTTCGAGTTTATTAAATTGTCTTGTTGCAACAAAGGCGATATTGATTTTAGAAACTCAATATTTTAAATTGTCCTCGCGACTGTACCACTAACAAAGCTTCTTAGAATTGAACGAAAATTGCTGTCTTGTTAAACGTCTCATGGCGCAGCTTAGTTTTGTCTCTGTCTGTGTTTATACTGAAAGAATAAGACAACTATATATAAGAAGTTTTTTTTCTTTTTTGAGACTTTTGTAGTATAAGGAAAAAATTTATGTGACTGTATTATATTAATGTAAAATGGCATAGTGCTTTACGAAGTATAGAAGCATAAATTTTAATATACACAAATACTACTTTAATAACACAGGGATGCGTAATATAAGGGTGAAAATTACTGCTTTTAATATATTTTAGACGCTTTAATATTTTTTATCAACTAATAAAAATTCCCGAATAAGATATAATATAAAGATCCAAATGTATATTTAATAGCTAAGTACTGTCTGTAGTTTACGTAACTAGTTCACATTTACATAAAACACTTTTAACGGTTTAACACGCGAAATATATTAGTTTATGTATTTACAAATTTCTTGACGTTTCTGATGCTTTGCAGCAGCCGTGGTCACGGGGTGATAGTCAGTTTCACATCCAATCCAATTTTGAATTATATAAAAAAGTAATTTCAAAATGCCGGCAGTTTTCTCTAGTCTGTAGACTATAAACCATGACTCGCCATTAAAACTAGTCGTTTGTGAGAATAACGCAAAAACTGATTGCACTACAACCCTTCTTCGCAACAAAATTCTATTTAGTTTTTCGTTGTAGTTAACGAGGTTGCTTCGAGGCTCTTGTTAAAACCCGAACAGTTTTGATACTTGCATAATTACTGTGCTCTCAAACCGGATAGCGTTAACTTCACAAGTAGTGAAACTTGATACTTGATATTGCGATATTAAAATATTTTTATTAAATATACGAGAGTGTACTTTTCGCCTTCAAAATATTGCAAGAGGTATATAGTTAAATGCTGTCTGTAGTTGACGTGAGTAGTACGCATTTAAATAAAACACTTTAACGGTTTAAAACGCGATATATATTAGCTAAACTAATTTGAAAATCATTGAATAACTACGGCCGAACGGTTCGGATGTAATGCTCCCCGTGATCACGGTTACTGTGTACTACACGCGTAAACTACAGACAGTATTTAATAACCAACGGGTCGTAAGTTTGAATCCTACAAACTCGGTAGCATTAATTGGTATATACATATTTTAAAATTAAATACTTTTACGGTTTTAAACGCGAAATATTTTAGTCAACGTATATTTTATTTTAATTATCAACAGCCCGAGGTTTCAGATACTTTACAACACCTAGTGCACATGTGAATAAAACATTTTAAACGGTTCAAACTCTACCGGTTGAAATCGCGTAATTTTTTAAGCCTTTTTAATTTATTTTAACTACCGCCTTACGTTTCGAATGCTTTGCAAGACCCCTGGTCACGGGGGGTATTAACACCTTAAACATCGGGCATATCAAATAAATAAAGACTAAGATAAGGAATATTTTTCGCGTTATAAACCGTTACAAGTCAAATGTTTTTTATT